TACCATGGTAATGGTGGTGTTAAATATTGCACATTTTTCATCCACTCTATATTCTCTTTATAAGTGAGACCGTTTGCTTCACAATATTGTTTCATATATGCCTTAGATTTATATTTATTAATTTTTGTTCTATCTTTATCTTCTTTAGGACCTTCAACCAATTCGTCTCGTTTTTCGTCTTCACCTACTTTATTTTGTTCTTCGGTGTCAGATTTCTGTTCTTCAGATCTTTCGTCATTATCTAAAATTTATTTATATTGTCTAAACATGGTATTACTTGATCAATATTGCTTACCTTCTAAATCAGAATGATCAACATCTGAGGTATCCTGTGACTTCTGTAATTCATCATCTTCCTCATCATCGCTCATAACTTCAATATCTGACAAATTATTGATAATATCAAGAAGTTCAGCTTCAGTAAGTGGCTTTCTAGACATGTTTTCGAAATAAGAAATCTGAAAATTAAATAACCTTTGAGTCACCATGTTCGTTTAAAATAACACATGATTTTTTGTATAAAACTATATAAAGTAGCTAATATTTTTTATGTTTTTGTACATACATATAAAAACTAACAATTAAGTACCTATAAAATAATTTTAAAATTATATTTTAACTTACCTAATAAGTTTAAACACAAAGGAAATATCACGAATTGCAGCTAACCTCAAAATGTGTGTTACCATGCGCTACTTATCAACCAAACTGAGCTGTTCGGAACAAGCGTGACACTGTGACTTGTATAACGTGCAGAGACGATGTTCGTTTAGAGGATCATGGTGATTCAACGTAAAAAATAGGAATTAGCTATCGTTGGCGCTTATGAAAAGTTGATGTTCGTTTAAACGAACATGGTGACTGAAAGGGTTAATACATTTATACAAGTCTATAATAAGTGTATTACAATGGGTGTTTTAGATATTTTAAAATAATTGACAGTCTTTAAGATGAGAAAATATTTTTTGAGTATCTGTATTTTCTTCTAGGGTATCTTTTAGAGAGTCGGGTATGTTATATTTCCGTCGTTCCCTGTTATATTTGGGATACTGTATTAAAAAATATAATGTTTTACCGTTAGAACACTGTTGAACACTTCACACACTTGTTAAAAATTCTAAATGGGTATAATACCCATTTATATTCCATTGACTTAGAGAGTTGACAATGATAATATTAATAAGTTTATGTAGATGTATCGCTGTCTAAGTTTGTTTGAAGGACTGGGTTGATTTGCTTTAATATATTTTTTATTTCGAGTGCATTTGATTTCAATTTTTCGGTTCAAGGATATATTTTAGTTTTAGTACAGAAGAATACTGAAAATATCGTGAACTGAACACGTCACAAACAAAGAGGTTCTGAGAAAATTTTAAATATAATTAAAACAAAGAAATTTAAATATCTCGAACATATTACACATGGAGAGAAATACACCTTGCTCCAACTGATTATGCAGAGAAAGATCTAAAGAAAGAGAAGCATAGGGAAGCGTAGAATGCCATGGCTGCGCAACCCGAAAGAGTGGTACGGATGTACATCAAATGAACATTTTAGAGCAGCCATCTCAAAAGTCCGAATAGCTATGATGATTGCCGATCTCCGCCGCGAAGATGGCACTTGAAAAAGAAGATATTTTAGTTAAAAGATCTATTACCTCTGCTGCTTTTTCTGTATATATTTTGGCGATACTCAACGGGTCTGCCGTGCCCTCACAGTTTTCAAAAAAGTCTAATAACTGTTGGTTAGTTACAGGGTAGTTGAAGTTTGGGTTGTCAAATTATGTTTTAGTGTAATTTAGATTTCTTCTGTGTTTTTTTGTTTTGATATTTTGATCTAATTTGACTTTCTTCTCTTTACTTTTTTGGATTATCAAAGTAGGTTCCTCTGTTTTGTGTTTTGCCTGTTTTTATATGCATTGTCTCATTTTCTAGATAAATTTTTAGACTGTTGTTTGTGACTGTTGTTTGTGAATCTTCTTTGGTTAGGTGTATGTGTGGTTTTTGCTGTTGGGTAGTTAGTGGTTGGGTTTTTTGTTGTATGCTTTTTTGTTATGATTGTTGTTGATGAGTGTTTTTTGGGTTTTTTGAATTGGTAGATTAGTTGTGTTTTCAATTGGGTCTATGTTTGGAAATGGATTATTTGATGTTGAATTATTTGTTCTAATCGCAGTAGACATTGGGCAGTTATTTGTTAAGTGGTTGGTTTGCTTACATGTTTTGCAAGTTGGGTATCTAATGATAGGTAAATCCTGTATGTCTTTTCTTCATGTGTGAGCATATCTGAATTCATCTCGAATAATATGTCCGAAGGACTGTAACTTTCGAGATTTGATGGTGGTCAGTACCTATCGGTTCTTATTCATTCTTCTGGGGACCTTCTCAATTGTGACTCGGCCAGTCTACGGGATCTTAAGTATTCTCCGATATAGCCACATCTCAAATGCTTCCAGTTTTTTGCACATATCTTCGTTCAAGGTCCGCGATTCAATACCATTTAAAAGGTCAGAGAAGACCTTGTAGCATCGCAGCATTCTTACCTTTGTATCAGAGAGAGGTTGTGACTCTTGAAGAAGGCTCCCATCCGATTGAAGGTGGATCTAGCTTTTGCGATGCGTGCTCTAATCTCCTGGTTGTTGGTTCATTTTTCACTTATTATGGTGCCGAGGTAGTTGTAGTGCGTCACTCTTTCTAGAGGGGATTGGTTGACGTAGAGTTAACCTTCTGCTATCCTTGTAACAATATTAAAAAACACTCAGGAGGTCAATTAGACATTTGAGGGTCCGGCATATAGAAACGCTACATATAAAATATTGGCTGCGATATTATTAAAAAGATTAGTACCATACGCCGAAGAAATAGCTGGTGACTACCAGTGTGGTTTCAGGCCTGGCAGATCGACTATTGATCAAATATTTACAATAAAACAAATGCTTGAAAAGTATTGGGAATATAATCACGACGTGCATCACATTTTTATAGACTTCAAACAGGCTTATGATTCAATTAATCGTGCAACATTATGGAAGGCAATGATCGAGCTCGGCGTACCCAAGAAACTCTGCGGTAACACAAATGTGTGTAAGTAACTCTTTTGCACAAGTTAGAATAGGGGGCAAAATATCAAAATGCTTTCTGCGTAAATTCTGAACTGAGACAGGGAGATCCGTTGTCCCCATTGTTGTTTAACCTGGCCTTAGAATATGTCATGCGAAAAATATATCCAAAAGTCAAACCAGAGATAACTGCTCGGAGAGGAAAAATCATACTCGCCTTTGCCGATGACGTAGACGCAGTAGCACAATCAACATTAGAAATTAAGGATATTTTCTCGAGCTTTGAAAAAGCTGCATTAAACATCGGCCTAAAAATAAATGAAGACAAAACAAAATACATGGTCGTCTCAAAACAAAAACGACGGCGAGTAAGGTAAAACATTACTATAAATGATCACAACTTCGAAGTGGTTAAAGAATTTAAATATCTAGGAGCAACAATCACAAATGACAACAAATTAGAGCGAGAAGTTGAAACGAGAATAATGTCTTTCTTTGCAATGCAACATCTGATGAAGTCGAAACTTCTTTCACGAGGTGCAAAGATCCGGATATATAAGACCATAATACGACCAGCAGTCGCGTATGAAAGCGAAACATGGACGATAACAAAAAGAGAAGTAAATAAATTGCTGGTGTGGAAACGTAAACTTCTTCGAATGATATATGGCCCTTGCAGAGACAGCGTGACAAACGAATGGAGGGGCAGATACAATAACGAGCTAAAGTCTCTATTCGGAAGAGAAAATCTAGTCGGATATATAAAGGCCAATAGACTCGACAGTCGCCTTATAACCAATGTGTTCTGGGAAAGGCCAGATGGAAGAAGGTCTGTAGGGTGGCCTAAAAAAAGGTGAAAAGATGCAGTCAAAGAAGATGTAGAGAAGATGGGAGTGCGACAATGGGAATTACTGGCACAGGACCGACAAACATGAAAGGCAATAGTAAACGCGGCAAAGACTCACGAAGAGTTGTAGCGCCATTGATGATGATGATAATCATATAGAAACGGGTGGATTTCGTTTCGAAAATTTGTTATCAATCTCAACAGATTTTTCTTTGGTTTTCGTTACATCATGTTCTTTTTATTTGTTTCTTAAGTTCTTTCATGGAATTGTAAACAATTCTTATCTATTGTTAAATTTTGTTAAAAATGTAAATAAATTGTTTTATTTAGCTATTTTTATATTTAATGTTCTATGTATTTTCTGTACGTTAATTTAAAAAAGATTAACCTGTAGTTCTTTCCTTTAAAACAAAATTTTGAGAATTTAATAAAACGACACTACCGATGAATCTCTAAAGAAATTCCAATTCAATTCAATTATCCCTTAGCTACTTCCTAATTCAAGAGGAAATTCACCCAAATGCGAGAAAAATTCACAAACGGTAAAAACTTATGTGGGCCAAAATGATCATCAACTCCATTGAGGATATGGTACTGGAAGAAGATCATTCATGATACTTATTAACGAGTTGCAGACACAATATCAAAAACAAACAGGTCCTATAAACTCCGATGACAATGGAATGGAAAAAGGAAAACAATTATAGGAAATTATAAAGAAACACAAAAATCAATCAAGACACAATAAGAATACTAAAGTAGGTTAACAAAAAACCTCAATAATTTTTCAGACAAAAAAAGGAGATTAGAAATTAGGATTATACTCAAAAATTCAACATTACTTATAATGGACGAAATACTTAAAGTACTTGTTAAAAGGAAATTAAATGTACCACACAGACACACGGGATGAATATATGTTTTAGGCGGGGCATTTGCAAATTGTTTAGTTATCATGATAGAAAGTAAGAAGTAATTAAACGCCGAACGTCATTTTTCCAACCATTTTCGTTTATTTCTAATGAGATGAGTTTCTTTTGACTACTTGCGTTTAAAAAAATTATAAAGATGCTTTTAAGGAGTATAAATAAAACTTACCATTGGCGTAACGTTCAACTTTTCCCTCTCGAGATCGCCTTGTTCAAAAAATTCGGCGCTCACTAACTCCGCTATCCTCTTTTCGACTTCCCACGGTTTGGTTATGGCCGCTAAATCACAGACTGTCATTAACATACCCCTCACGGATTCCTTATGATCCTCTCTCTTCCAGTTCAGACCATCACTAGCTATCTTAAAAAAGTCAACACGTTTCCTGAAAGAAGAAACTTATTAAGCATATAATTATTTTCCTAAAATATAAATAAATATGAACTCGTTAAAACCCCCAAAAATGTTGTTCATTTAAGTCTGACTGCACACACACTCTTCTCTGTAACAAACAAACAACACTTTTTCAACATTTTCTGGCTTTTTCCAAAATATGAATTGACGATAAATAAAAGGGCCATACAAAAATATTCATCATCATCATTATCCAGCCTTCATTTATCACGTCCACTGCTGGACATAGACCTCCCTTGAACTCCTCCATTCTACGTTTGTCTGCTCTTGGCTTCCAATGTGTAATCAAAATATTACATAGTAATGTTTTAATTTTAATTAAAGTTGAAATTGGAATTGGTTTTCACTTATTATTCTGTTACTCTGCTGTTCTATTTAACTCTAAAGACACTGGATTATTTTTCTAGTTCTGTGTTGTTACACCATTATTAGTAATGCCAAGCAATAAATGTCTCTTTCAAATCTTTCAAAACAGTAACTAAGTGTCTACTGATCCCTATAAATAAGTCGTTTCAGAGCCTTCTTAAATTACGACGTTTTCGATGGCTCTATATAATAATTAATGCAAGGTAACAAACCTGTGGTCGCAGGGTAAAAGTTCTTAAGTCAAGTTTTGGCCATTTTGAGTTTAATGGACCAACAGATAGGTGGCTATCTATATTTGTGGGTAAAAAAACCTGAGTCCTATATAACGATTCGTTTCTACAATACAATTGAGGAAATAATAACATAAGTCAATTGTTTGTTTGTATTTGGGTAAAACAACCTTAGTGACATAAGAACTAATTCGCTTATGAAATTTTGAGCAAAAGTTCCTATGACAATTTAGGAAGTTATACCCGGTTATAAAAATTGCTGGCAACCTTGAATTAGCATCACATAAGAATCAAATTTCTTACTGTGATTGACCGTTTATGTTTTAGAAGCTTGTTTATCACTGTGTTCTGTGTTACAAAAGTTTGTATTTTATCTAAACTATAATAGTTTATAACGAAATGGATAGTTTTTCAAGAGGAAAGAAACTAGCCCTAATGGGTTTATCTAAACAATATAGCTGTATAATATTAAGTATTACATAATATAATTATTATTACTATGTAAAATGCTAGTGAGATTATGATTATATTTTATTCGTTACAAAGTTACAAAGTTTATTAATTACAAAATTGCAACGTTTTTAACACGTACATTATTTTAAATTTGTTGCTAGTAAACTTATGATTTGTATTGATTTCATATAAATATAATTTGGTTTTGATTTTGACATATTTGTTTTATTCATCAGATAAAAACCAGGCAACCACATGCACATCAGACAACAGTCAAACAACAGCCAGTACATTGGGTGATAGTATACAGAGTGGCTCAAAAAATAAATGTAAGTAGAACTGAGTTTAACAAACATATTTTACTAGCTGCAGTTTGTTTTTTCATGTTTCCTTTTAATACCACTTCACATTTTTTCAGGGCAAACCGTAAATGAGTTTGAGGATCCTTTTCATAATAGTGATGATGAATACAAAGACCCAGAGGATATGACCCAGACATGTATATCAGGCAACAGTCAAGCATCAAGCAGTACATGGGGTGATGATATACAGAGTGTCTCAAAAGATAAATGTAAGTGGAAACAGAGTTTAACAAAACTATTTTTGTAGCTGCAGTTTGTTTTTTCGTGTTTTCTTTTAATAGCGTTTCATATTTTTTTAGGGCAAATTTTAAATGAGTTTGAGGATCCTTTTTATAATAGTGATGATGAAGACAAGGACCCAGATTACATTCCAGATTTAGACGAATCAAATTTAGACATTTCAATGAACAATTTAGATAACAATGTTGCAGGACAGAAGAAAATTGAACTTACCACACCACAAGCTACTAGTGCCCCAGTAGAGACACAGGAGGAAGTACTACAGCAGTAAAAACAAAGAGAACCACAGACATAGTTCAAACAGTCCCTTCTAAACGATCAAGGATTGTTAGAGAAACAAGGAAGATTTGCAGAAATACTGGTCAACTATATGTCACAGAGAGTGGTAAAGAAGTACGGGGTAAATTTTGTCAAGATTTATTACCATGTCGATTGAATTGTAGTATTAGATTTGAGACGGCTAAACGACAAGAGCTGTTTTCTGGTTTTTGGTCTTTAGGAAGTCACGATCGTCGAGCAGACTATATTGTTAGCTTGATTACGTCCAAGCTTAAGGCAACAACTCGTATACGCTTAGATACTAACAACCGCAAAAGAGAGTTGACATATACCTACAATATTAAAATTGATGGAGAATTGCATAAAATATGTAAAGTATGTTTTATGAAAACTTTTGATATCACAGAAGGGTTCATCAAAGTTCAACTTAACAAAATACTGAAAAATTCCGATGGAGCAACTATAAGTACTGACAATCGAGGAAGACATTCACCAGTAACAAAAACTACACAGGAAAGAAAAGATAAAATCATCAATCATATAAATTCGTTCCCAAGATATGAAAGCCATTACAGCAGAAGACATACTGAAAAAAAGTATCTTCCATCTCATTTAAATATTTCTATAATGTATTTACTTTACAAAGAATTAGTAACGGATCACCCAGTATCCTACAATGTGTATAGAAATATTTTTAAGGAAATGAATTTAAGTTTCAAAGTGCCCCATAATGATACATGCAATACGTGCCATACATTCAAACTAAAAGTGAAATTATGTAAAGATGAACTAGAAAAACAAGATCTCGTAATTGAATGGAACAGACATAAAACTGCAGCTGACAAACATTTTGAAGCAAAATCAAAGGATAAAGCTGACGCAATAAAAAATCCTTCAATTAAAATGGTAACTTTTGATTTGCAACAAGTCTTACAAACTCCTTATCTACGTTAATCTATAATATTTTATAAACGTCAATTGGCTGTGTATAATTTAACAGTCCATGAAGGTGACACAGGAGTAGCTTGGAATTTTATCTAGAATGAAAGAATCGCAGGACGAGGTGGTAACCAGATTGGTTCATGCGTATATAGATATATTTCTCAACTTTCATCAGCTATAACTGATTTGATTATGTATTCTGACACATGTACAGGTCAAAATAGAAATTCACATATAGCTGCAATGTGTTTTTCAGCGTTACAAAACTCTTCTACTTTGCAGTCTATAGATCACAAATTTATGGTAAGTGGACATTCACATATGGAGTGTGACACAGTGCATGCAAATATAGAAAAGAATAAAAAGAAGACATCCATGGATATTCATCATCCACGTGATTGGTCTCAGTTAATCCGATCAATGGGACCGAAATATGTTGTAGTAGATATGGACCAACCAGATTTCTTAGATTTTAAGCAATTATATGCCAAAGAACTGCAATTAAAAACAAAAGATAACGAGAATAATAAATTTGTGTGGCATGATATACAATGGATGCGATTTTTAAAAGAAGAAAATAGGTGTACTTTGTTATATAAAAGGTCTCTAGAATTAGATGAGCCTTTTAAAAAAATTTTTTTTCTAGACAGAAAAATATTACAGATTTAAGGCCTGCAATTAAGGATAAAAGAAGAGGACAAAATATTACAGATTTAAGGCCTGCAATTCAGTATACTGAGTATTTACCTATAAGTAAAGAGAAAAAAGCAGACTTGGTCAGCATTTTACATTTAATAAATCCAGTGTTCCATGACTATTATAAAAACCTAAAAATCTCTGGGTCTAGAACAAAGGATAGCGTCACCTCTGATGATGAGTAATATTAATTTATTTTTTAAGATTTTTTTCCTTAGTGATCAAAAAATGTTTAGTTTGTATGATTTTATTAAATATTTACTATATAATACGTTTTTGTTATTTATTTTTAATATGTAAGACAATAAATAACGACTACAGATGCCATTTTTTCATAAAACATGTATTGAGATCAGTGAACTAAAAAACTTAAGTCATATAACCCATTGGGACATAACTACTTAAGTCATTTTTTTATGAATTAAAAAAAAATTGAACTAGTTAGCTATGCAACTCCTAGATAAACAATAAACTAAAACTGATATACAGTTAAACTCTTACATTTAGTAACGATTTTAAAGTTATGATTCTGGAGAAATGTCTAAATAGTTCAACCTCGTATATCTCGGTACACTGATTTCTGACTTAAGAACTTTTACCCTGCGACCACAGAAACTGACAATAAAATGTTTATTTGACAACTAAAATTTAACAAACGTTAAAAGGACGGACCATATAAGTATTTTGAATTTTGAACAGTTAATAAAAGATAACAAAATACTTACTTAAAATAGACCGCCAAATCCGTAGCTAATATGGCATCTTCTAATACCCTGATAACTCTAGAATGCTGTTCTGGTGTTAGATTTGAAAGAAGTTGGAGAGAATTTAGAATCATTAGACATTGGTCAAAATGGTGGTGTTCCATGGTAGAGGTGGAATATAGCTGGGCTATAGGCGAATGAATCCTAAAATTGCATATTGATTATAACAGAGACATAAAACAAGTGAAAATTGTAAGAATTTGTTTTGCCGATACATTTTTAACGTCTTTCTAAAACGTTACTATTTATTAAATATTCATATTGTAACTGCCAAATGATACACAAGTAAAAAACCAAAAATATTATTTTATATCGCTAAAGAACAAAAGAAAATCACAAAAAATTACTGTTTTTCCGCTATTTTAATAATGCTATATGATATAAAATATATTGATATTAAAAACTAAAAATAGATTATAACTTACTTCATTTGAAAGGAATTATTTGTTCCCCGATGGTCTAAATCATGACAGAGACAAGCGATCATCAACGCAAGGCATTCAATGGATCCCAAATATTCCCACCACCTTGTTGCCTAAAACATAATAGCAAATAATTATTATCCTACAAACTGACAACGTTCTCCACGAAAAGATTCTTTTTCGTTAATTATGAGTATTCTTTTTATTATAATTAGTTAGATAATAATTCACAACTGATCCGGATTGAAGATCCATTTCCTCACACTGACCGGTAACATCTGGTTCTCGAAATTATTGCGACTCGGCTCTCTTACGATCCCCGTTGAATGTGATCCAAGGACCGTGTCTCCCAAAAGTTTATTTTTTTTACTCTTTTTTGTTGTTGTTTTATTAAGTTTTATTACTATTTTTATCTTACTATTATAGACAGTAACGGTGAAAAAATTTCCCAAACCTAAAATTCGTTAAGGTCCAACTGATCCGAGACCTCGGCTCTCTTAACTGATTAAGTTCCGTTCATCCGGGTCTTCAAAAAGACCTGTACTTTCATAGTTGTTATAAATAATGATAAATTTAATAGTTGTTTTTACTAACATGTTAAGTAAAATATCGTAGTGGCTTTGTACTTTTTGTTTTCTTTAACGCAGTCAATTTTTCTCTTCTTCTTATTTAAATGCCTTATCCTCCAAGAACATTGGGACCACTCGTATGACTGACCAAGAAGACTTGAATGATAGAGATCTAAGAATCATCTACAATATTTATGATAACCAAACCTTCTTCTTCTTCATGTACCATGTCCTTTCAGAACGTTGGTTACCATCATAGCTATTTTAATTTTATTCACTGCCACCCTAAATAGCATGCTTGTATCTACACCATACCAGTCTCGCAAGTTCTTCAACCATGAGGTTCTTCTTCGTCCTGGACTGCGTTTGCCTGCTATTTTTCCTTGCATGATGTTTTGTAGCAATCTATATTTGGGACCTCTCATTACATGTCCAAAATATTCCAGCTTTCTCTGCTTGATACTTTTTATGATCTCAGTAGTCTTGCTGAGACGTTCTAGTATTGTGGAGTTACGAATCTTCTCCACCCAGGAAACTTTTAAAATTCTTCTATAGCACCACATTTCGAAAGCCTCAAGGCGATTTAGATCGATTTTATTCACAGTCCAGGACTCGACAGCATAAAGTAAGACCGAGAACACGTAGCAGCGAAGTAGGCGGATCCTTAATGCCAATTTTAGGTCTCTGTTACATAACACCTTGGACATCCTTCTAAAAGCAGCTCTAGCCTGCTCTATTCTGGATCTAATTTCGCCGTGATTTTCTGCATTACAATTTAATTGCTGTCCAAGGTAGACAATTTTATCAACTTGCTCAAGTTTGATATTATTTACATATATAGACGGTTTTATATTCTGTTGTTTACTTATTACGAGTATTTTGGTTTTCGTTATGTTAAGATCCAGACCTGCCTCCCTACAACTCTCAACGACACTATCAAGTAGTGTTTGCAGATCTTCTTGACTAGAAGCTAGGAGTACTGTATCGTCCGCATATCGCAAATTATTGATGACTTCGCCGTTCACAAGTATTCCTTCTTGTTTTTCAGAAAGTGCTTTTCTGAAAATTCTTTCGGAGTAAACGTTAAAAAGCAGGGGTGACAAGAGGCATCCCTGCCGTACTCCTCTTTTAATATTGAGAGCTTGTGATTCCACACCATCTACTAAAACCAAAACCGCCAACATTAAAGTGGACGATCGGTTCACAGAGGCTATATGGATAGGTAGAGGAGTGAGACAAATAGTGAGACCTATCTTCTTCTTATAGTGCCTATCCGTTATGGATGTCGGACACTAAACATGGCTATTCTGACTTCTTTTGTCCTCTTTTCCCATGCACTTTACCTTGAAGTATGGTCCGAATTAGGTCATATCGTTGTTCATTGCGCATTATATGGTCCAGGTATTCCATATCTTCGCACTTTCGGTATTCCAGACCTATACTCTGTACATATTTTCGCACAAACGTTGGAAGAACAAGAACAATATTAGTAATGGAAAGCAAATATATAACGTTAGATATGCTGAAGATGCACTTGTTTTTTGCACAAATAGGTTATAGAGCTTAAAAACATGTCACGCAAATAAGATATGTTAAGAGTATATACTGGATCTGAACACAAAGAAAACAAAATATAATAGTCAGTTCTTCTTCTTCATCTTCCTCATTCTTTAAGGACATGGATGATCATCACGGCCCATTTTACTCTGTATACAGCAGTTCTGGAGGGTTCTATTGTTGTTTTTCCACTCCACTGCTTGAAATTTTTCAACCAGCTCCCCAGTCCTCTTTTTCCTTCAATTGTCCCTTGTATAACCAATTGCATTAACTTATATTTTTCATTTCTTAGTATGTGACCAAACTAGCCCATTTTTTTCTCCTTTATAGTGTTGAATATTTCTTTCTCTTTTTTCATTTTTTAAATGTTTTCTTGTTTGTTACGTGTTGTGTCGCGTATAGTCAATGTCATAATAATCAGTAAGCGTGAAATATTAAATATACAGCTATTGGTTAACCAACAGTCAATTGACAGGGTAGACAGCTACACATACCTCGTTACTAACATATAAACAGCTAATGGGACCACTCCATCGAAATAAAACACCGCATAAGAACCACACGGTTGTTGAAACATATATACAAGCTTTTCACTAGGTTAGTGACATCACGATTGGAGAGAAAATTAGATTTCTATCAACTGAGAGAGCAGGCAGGATTCCGATCAAATTATGGTACCAATGATCATCTCCATCCGATAAAGACGGTCATTGAAAAATCTATAGAATAAAACAAACCTTTTGTCCTCCCTTTCATAGATTTTCATAAAGCGTTCGATACGATCGAAATAGACAGCCTTATAACAGCAAAAAATGACAACAGGATTGACCATAGGTATAGTGAACTTATTTACAATATTTACAAAAAGGCCACTATGATTATTAAGATACACGATAAAACTCGACCAATAAAAATAAAACGTGGGATAAGGCAAGGAGATACATTGTCACCGAAATTATTAATAACGGCATTAGAGTATGCCTTTAAGACGGTCAACGGTCGGGACCACAGAGGAGTAACAAGAGACGGCGAAAAACTTAACCAACTCCGTTTCGCAGATGACATTGTCCTTATCACAGATGATTTAGGAGAATCCACAGATATATTGAATGAATTGGACTTTGCATGTTCGAAGGTGGACCTCAGAATGAATTTGTCCAAAACTAAGTTTATGACAAATATGGTCCCAATAAGCATTTACCTATTCAAAACAAAATGGTAGAACTGGTGGACAAATATACGTATTTTGGTCACGAAATAAGAATCAGCAGGGATAACCAAACATGCTAAATCCAAAGACGAATTACTTTAGCGTGGACAGCTTTTGGAAAACTGCGAGACACACTTAGGGCCAACATACCAATTAGCCTGAAAAGAAAAGTATTTGACCAATACGTATTACCGGTCATGACCTATGGGGCGGAAACTATGACTCTAACCAAGACTACGGCTTCGAAATTGAGAGTGGCGCAGAGACGAATGGAACGATTTATGCTGGGAGTGACGTTGCGGTACCGAATAAGAAACGAAGATCTGCGAAGAAGGATGAGTATTGCTGATGCATACGGCACGCATAGCGGAACATAAATGGAGTTGACCAGGCGATGTAGCGAGAATGCATGACTCACAATGGACGAGTAAAGTTACACGTAGCAGCAAAAATTGGCAACAAAGAGCACAAAATCACAAAAAATGAAGAAGTTTAAGGGAGGCATATGACCAGCAGTGGACGTGATAAATTAAGGCTCGATGATGATAAGAAAGGTAAGGTCAGTATTTGTAAAGATGAAATCTTTGTTCAGCAATCATGATTTACCACTCAGAACCAAAGTCTCCTCCTCCTCCATCAGATGTTTTTTCTACCTTGCTGTACGGAATAGAGGCATATGCGCTTTCTGACGCTTCTTTAAAAAAGCTTGAAGCCTTTAAGATGTGGTGTTATACGCGGTCTAAGAATATGGGTGTACCGGACAAATAATGTTGAGGTAGAATGGGAAAGCGGAATACAGGGAGCAGAGATATGGCTTGTTACAACCCATTCTTCAGGGCAGAGTGTATGGACAAAGGGGACTAAGGAGCACAAGAATTTGTTGGCTCCAGAACTTGAGAAAATAGTTTCACAAGTTTAGAACCAAACTATACTCAATGCCTCCCAGCAAGATATGAATAGTCATGTTAACCTCAACGTCCGGAACGGATAGGCACCGTTAGAAGAACCTCTATTTCTTTGTTAAGATATTGTAAAAACGGCTTGATTCGTCACTCTGTCTTTCCACAATATCCTTAACATTCTGCGCTACGCCCATATCTCGAAAGCCACAATTTTTTAAAACATTGTTCGAGTGAGAGTCCACTCTTCCATTTCATAAAATAGAATACTGACGAGATAATAGTGTAATAAACGTATTCTTAAGGGAATTCTTAATGCTCTATTGGTTCATATATTTTACACCTTAAATGATCTGATTTACTCTATTCTGCTTTTGATTTCCTAGGATAAGTCTCATTTTCATTCATCCAAGAGCCCAAATATTCGTATGACTGTAGTTTCTCTTTTACTATTTAATATTTACACTGAGTATATCCTCAAAGGTCCCCATTATAACGGCGATGTCTTAACGTCACCGAACGTTCGAAGAAGCTACCAGTCTAGTGTAGATGATTTCACACTGTTCCAATCATGCTATGCCAACGAATATCAGGTGTTCCAGATTACCAGGTAACGGTGTTCTGACGTAACGAGGGGGCATAGAAACTACAAGTTTTATTATAATACGGTAAATTAAATGGTATAATTTTATATAGTATATTTTTAGATAATTAGTCTACCAAATATATTCGTAGCGTAAAGTAAATAAACGTTATAAATTAAAATAAGTGTTAGAGTGTAAATAACAAATAAAATATCGTCACAATAGGTGAAAATGTTCACTCTAGAATACATTTTACAGTGTTTCTAGGGGTATTTAAAATAATTTTAATTAATCTCAAAATCAACTTACGTGCAATATTGAATACATCATCTGACCTACGTTGAAGGCGTGCCTCCAGTTATGGTAAGTTACATCTCGGTAGTTTTTCTTAACTGACAATAGCCATCTACATAATACATCAAAATCTATGTGGAACGTTTCTACCAAACTAAGATCCAAGAACATGCGTAAACAGGCCTAGACAAAATATATATTTTGAGTTAAGTGCTGAATTTTAACGAAACTACAAGTAAATAATTTACGAAAGCCAGATGAAAAGTTCCCGATTTTGCCCATAGACGGTACTAATATAAAAAAAATTACTGTTGTGTGGCGTCAGACTTATTGTAAAAGCAACTACCAAGTGAATTTAATTACACAAATTCTATTGTTCCTGTTGTCATTTTGGATTATCGAAGTTTTAAGGAATATACCTCTTCATTATCAACAGCAAAAATGGACTGCGAAAACTAGGCGTAGCGTATAGCACGGACTCTGGGGCCGAACAATCAATACAGATCGATGATGTCACTAGAGATAGCTGGCCTGCATTGTTCGGGGTAGGATTTCATTTGGGAGGCCTGATACCCAAGACTCCCACATTATAAGCACTTTGCCAATAAGAGAGCCTATATAGCGCATCAGAGCACTATCGGAAGGAGCGTGGATGGCTTGGAGCATTGGAGCGGGGTGGAGTGATTCTTGTTTACGCGACTTAATCCTCCTCGCTCCAATAAATTGTATCACTCTAATGTCATACTTAAGGGATGTGCAAGTCTCTCAGGCTGGGTTAAACTATTGCTTGCTTGCAGTTTTTTTTAATGAATTTCACTTTTTTTTGTTGGCTACTTCGGTGTTCTAAAAAAATTTCAACAACCTTTTCAGACCATTCAACTTCTTTATCGTACAGCAAATGCTAATTATGATGAGATTACCACTTTACTTACATCGTCTTCTATTTAAGGCGATCGTTTTAAATTTGTTAATGTGTTATTTTCACAGTCGGTGTGACGTCAATATTCAAAAACCCTTTGTAGGGTACAAAACTCCACTACATTCTTCTGTAGGAGGACTCAAATATATGAGCATGATTATATAACTCCAACACCCCTCTAATATTTCTTCTTCACATATCGTTTTGTATTTGGTACCACCATATATTGAATGAGTCAAAAGAAGCGGGACGGTCTAATTTTCCGCGAAATTTACATCGGATCGAAAAACATAAAAAATCGAATGACAAAAATCACGACCCCTCAGCCCCACTCCCTGTGGATGGGGCGGAAGGCAACTTTAACGTCCTAAATGGGAACCACCATTTTTTCCTCATAAAAAATATTTAACTTCTATTTAAAACATTTTTCCGAATTGTTGATAGATGGCGTTACAACCGAAAAAACATTTTATCCTGATACGTCGGGAAAATATTGGAAAGGGTCTAATATCTCGAGAAATATACTTCTAAATGAAAAACCGAAAAGCAAATTTTTAACATTTTTCAAAAAACTATCGAATGACACCAAAGACGACCCTCCAACTCCACCTCCTGTGGGTAAGGCTTGGGAACTTTGAAATATTAAATAGAAAAAGCCAGTTTTTATTGCAGATTCGGATTCTACGTGAAAAAGTAAACAAATTTTTCAAAAATTTTTTCCATTCTTGATTGATGCCACTATAATTACAGAAACAAATACAGAGTCAGTACCAACAGTACCTATCAAAAGTCTACAAACTCACTTTTATGGCACTGACTACAGTTTTGACGTAGAATCTGAATCTGCAATAAAAAAATGAGGGCTCTATTTAAGATTTTAGGGTTGCTCCACGGTCCATCCCAGGGGATAGAAGTGAGGGCAGACATAGGAGTCCTGTTTGGTGACATTCGATAGATTTTTAAAAATATTATACATCTGTTTTTTGATAAAGCAAAAAGTAAAAATTCGAAGATTTCTATTACTTGTTCGAAACCAAAATTCAGATTCTTACCCAAATCTGTGCCTGCTACGATATACAAAGCAAATCGACGATGAATAAATCGACGCGGGGAATATAAAATTGCATTCCACATCATTCCATATCGATTCATCTAAGTAAGATCCTTCATCTGAGAACCTTTCATCAACTCTTTCATGAATACGAGTAAATAAAGATATAAAAAAGACAGTACAGATTTGATTTCACGTAGAGTGTTTCTACAATTTGCTTCTACGTATTCCGTCCTTTTTAGGACTCATTAGAGCGTCTCAATAGTCCTTTGAACGTCCTCCATAAGCAGGTCATTTTTAAGAATATATTTTTGGTCTGTGTACGGACTTATGAACTTTATTGACGCTTTCAATTCATTTAAACAGTTTCAGAGCTTATTTTTATATTAATGCAACAAAACCATTTATGAAACTGAATAGAAAAAACATTATAACTAATATATTTTAGGACTTACAGTCAAAGTTTCATCATCACTCATGCGAATGTCATCAAAGGCGAAGTCCAGAAGTCTAAACTTAACATTCGATGGTACCCGTAAATCCTGTAACAGAAAATATGCATTAAACACGTTATTTCAGACAATAAGCTAAAACATATTAATACAACAAATAAACAGACACTGTTATTTGTTGTCATCAACTTTGTTTAACGTATATTCAGAAATAAAATTTAACGAAGGCTTAGAAGGACCATGTGGATTTCGAATTGGAGAAGCTATCAAAAACATTGGATATCCGAATGATACACCAATCATGGCTGAAAGTATCAAAGATCTTCAATTCCTTATGGACTAAGTTACTGGAGAATGCTCCAATAATAGACTCGGCATAAACACATCAAACGAAAGTCCTATGCAACAATTATTAACAATGTGCCGATTACACATACTAACCATTTTAAATGTTGGTCGGCTTTAAAAACTTGTATACAAATAGCAAGCGGAGCATTTGTGCAGCAACAAAAAGTAAGAAGCCTTTCAGATGTGGTCATATCGTCGAATTATCAAAATACCCTAGCAAGGAGAAGGTGAATTGACGGAAATATTCAAAAAGAGAAAAGTTAAATACGTCGAGCATATAATGGAAAGTAGCAGATACTTTATACTGCAGTTAATACTTAACACAAAGGTAAAGGGAAAGAGTGTAATTTGTAGGAGGAAATACTCGTGGCTCCAAAATTTACATTCATGGACTAGCCTATCAAGTGATGAATTAATACCTGCAGCACAAGATCAAGAAACATATCGGAAAATTGTGATGGAGGTTAAACAGAGAAATCTGGGCATGGTATTGAATAAAGAAGATATGAGGAACAATAAATGAATATATTCAATATTGTTCCGAAACTATTTTATTCTGGCATTATATTATTATTTACTATTTTTAATAATGGGAATTTCAATTTCAATTGAAAATATGTTTATTTTGACGTTTGTAGTAGGATATGACTGCCAATATTAAAAGAAGAAACCAATAAAGAGAAAATACCACTATTAGAAGTCAATAACATATCAAAAATAAATATTTTCCCTCATCATTCACAAGGTGAGTGGCTCACATGGCTGAAGAGAAAAGTAATTGATCAATGTCTCCTCCCATTGTTGACATATGAAGCAGAAACACTTACTTTAGCAAAAGCCTCGGATACCAAAATTAGAGTCACACAGAGAAAAATGGAGTGCTCCATGTTAGAAATAACTCTGCGAGACAAAATAAAATACGAAGGGGTAAGGAAAAGAACCAAGGTGACTGAGTCATCGAAAGGATAGCCAGACTAAATTGGAGATGGGCAGGATACCTAGCTACAATGACGGAAGGACGATGGACAAAGGGGTTATTGGAATGGAGACCAAGTGAAGATAAGGGAAGGGTCGGTAGACCACCTACACGATGGGCTTATGATTTAAGAAGACAAAATAAGAACTTGATGAGGGGAAGGAGGAGGAGGCATATCAGGGAGGAGGAAAGCACCTCAAAAATATTGACAATATCATTTTGAAGTCATCTACTTTAAAATGAATATTATATGATTTGCTGAAATGACAATATGCAGAGGCATGAGCCAGATAAAATTAAATTATTAGTTCATATTTGTTTAACTACCAAAGTTTCTCATAAAAAGAGAAGAAATCTATCACTAGCATATTTATTTGCTAACCATCAGTAAGGCTTTCACTAACCATTTTTTTAAGGCAAAAATATTGTTTATAACATTGGCGGTTAAGTGTTCGGTTTTATGTAATATTATTATAATATTGTTAATCAAAATAGTAAAGAGAAAAGTCAAACAATTATAAAATCATTCAAGAAGATCTGGCATAAAGGTACGCTTTATCATAAAATGCCAAGAACTAGTAGAGATATCACTGGTATCACTGGTAGATGTCGATGAGATATTTGTTATAATGAGTGAAGAAAATATTTAATTTATGAGAAGATAGTCCAAGATATTACGCCACGTGGCCATCTGTTGTGCAACTACGGATAGTCGATTACAAGAAGCAAACAGATAAAATGTAAGTTATTTTATATGATTTCTTTAAAAATCATTACGCAAGAAACATTTGACATAAAACATTGGTGGATCATGAGACATTGTACACCAATAAACTCCTCGTCGAAGAATTGTAGGAAAACTCAACACACAGTTGTAATAAGCCATGGTACTGCCCAATACATCAATAGAACAAAGTTTCAGTTTCGAAAAATTTGAGCAATATCGATACCAAGACATTTGAATAAAGATTAGCAAACTGGTCGTGTTGAAGATGTCATGTTACAAAGTATATTGAACAAGATAATTTAACAAAGATAATTGAACAGTACCTGTGACAAACTTAATATGTCTATGGGTCAAGTGTTGTTTGATCAGGAATATTCGGAGAATATTCTTCACATAACGTAAACCGTTAATGCTGCTTATTATGTAAAATCTTAATGAGTACTCAAGTAGACTACAAAAGATGGGACACACAAAGACAAATATAAGTTTTCTTTTTTTTTGGAAGGATGTTGTCGATTAATGAAACTGGGGCGCGCAATTGTTAAAGGTAAGGACCTTTAAATGATTTAACAACGACATGTCAACAATGTCATATATAGTACATTGTTCCTACCAGGATGAAATATACCTTTGAAGAAACTTTTAGACCTTCAATTTATTTTCATTCTAATTTTTGCATATAATATTTGAAAAGAGTTTGCGTAGCATGATTTTCACAAAATAGAAGCTAGAATCATAGAAGAAATATCAATTAACGGTTTATATTATTAATTATTACAAAACACTTTCACGAGATGCTTCTAATAAGCCTTCATCTATCTTTCTGCTGTATTTTTTTAATATATGATCAATTATACCCAACAAGTACTTAATGGCTTCAATACCTTCAAATTTGCATTTCTGCATAACTTAACAGATAACCCTAGGAATATGTGACCATGCGTTATTATGCATTAATGCAAATATAGAGCTAGTACGTATTCAGCTTGTTATCGACATCATTTTGAAGCATAGATTAGCCTAGATGGCTATGATTGCCTGGACTTGCTAGGACCAAACTATCACAGATCCACTACATCGGTAGACTTTTTTAATGACAAGAGGTGGATATCGTTTATCAGGACGTGTATACATACGAACATGTCCATCAAAAAGGGTTAAACAAAACTTATACTCATCCATGTAAAGTGCAGGTCCCTATATCGTAGCTGTCTATTAACGTGGGTTCTTGAAAATCGTAATCGCGCTCTTTTTGATCCTCCATAACACGGATTTCGTATAAATCTGCTGGTTCTTAAATTAGACTTTCTTAATCTTCTCCGCGCTATCTTATCTTTAACCACTCCATTTTCCATTCTCAGATCATTCAACTAATCTATAACGAAGACATTATACATAAAGAATAACTTCCTAAAGCGTGTTCACAATTAATAAGCCAACTGAAGGACAACAAAACAAAAGAATCTGCCATTTTATTCTTCATCAGTGTCACATATTGTGTAACCGTGCACGTTGTTTTCTTCCAGGTTACATCCCACCCTCTATTTTACCTTGAAAAATAAGCTTTGCTTTGATATGGCATATTGAACTTCTCAATAAGTATCTAAAATAATTGTTCTATATTTTGATATTCAAAATTGTGTCTCAGTTTCTGCTCTTCTCAATACCTTTTCGTTGGTAAAATACTCCTTACATAATTTTTTTTGGTATTCTGCAGAGAACTCGAACATTTAATGCGGTTGAATTTTCTAAGTGGTTATTGTGGTTGGCTGGTAACTTTGGCTTGACCCTAATGCCCACGTGGGAATGAATCCAAATAAGATTGACTATTTTACCATTTTGTTGAGATAAGTGACGCTTCAACTTGAACTTGTTTTCAATTGGATGATTTGGATATATCCTTTGTACCGATGTTATCGAACTAAGCGAATCAAAGAAAATCAGTACTCTAGTTATGTTATTGTTAGAAAACTTAAGTGCTCTGCAGAAAGCGAATAGTTCGGCTGTATATATACTGCAAGGTGGAGAAAGTCGAAATAAGTGCTGATTTGAATTAGTAACGCAAGCCGCACCAACTCTTTCATTAGTCTTTGAAGCGTCTATAAATAAGTATATGACAGAAGTTTTGGTAGGGTTCCAATATATTTGACAAATATGCTTTAATGAGCCGAGTTTAAATGGAGTAGTGATGCGCATCATAAGGTGTTGCTTCCAGATAACACCTCTAGCCTCTCCCACTCAATTCCTATCCTCACCTCCGAAAAGTGTGTTCCGGATCACACGGGTCAACCCCGGTAAACCTGAGCAGTCCTACTGAAGACTGGGTAACCAAGGGTAACCAACCTTGTCAGGGCTGACAAGGAAGGGAGAAATGGTCCTCCGAAAAGGGGGTTGGGCATGAGGCTAACTCCCTCACCCCATAAAAACCTATTGTTACGAAATATCGAGATAGAAAAGCCGGACTGAATTCAAGACGACGACCCATACCCATACAGGCTGTATAAGACAGCGGGACTGAAGCTGCTGCAAGATCAACTACTAAAATATAGAATGGCTATTGCAGCCATTCAAGAGATGGGATGGACAGGAACCGGCAGTATGCAGAAAAAAGAACAAATATATATTACAGCTGCAATCCGAACCGACATGAGTACCGAACCGCGTTCCTAATATCAAAGAAAATCAACAATTTTATTATTGGTTTTAAAGCCATAAATGATCGGTTATGCATCCTTCGAATAAAAGGAAAATTTTTCAACATATGCCTGATCAACGTGCACGCGCCAACCGAAGAAAAAGAAGAAGAAATTAAAGATCTATTCTACGAAGACCTTGAAAGAGCATATGATAAGTTGGATTTCACCAAATGGACACACCACAAATCAAATTGACCATATTATAATTGACGGAAGGTACTTTACAAACCTAATGGACGTCAGAAGTTACAGAGGCGCAAATACTAGACAAGTTAAATATAATTTACATATGCTAAAAAATGAAAACAAAGAAAAACAGATCCAGTCACATATAAAAGAAACCCTAGAACACACCTGGGCAGTCGACCAGTCAAGCACGGAAATGTGGAACTAGTGCAAGGAGGCTCTGAAATTAGCAGCCAAAAGCACATTGGGAATATCCCGAACCCAAGAAAGAAACGACTGGTTCGACCAAGCTGCACAAAAATAACAGATGAGAAGAACGAGGCATTTAGGACCATGCCACAACGGAAAATTAGGACAACAATAGATAGATACAAAAACTTAGGAGAGAGGAAAAACGCATGCAGCAAAAAAAGAAATGAGACTCGGAAAATGTCATATTAGAACGGCTCGAAAGCTAGTCACGGAGAAACAAGAAAGTTCTATCATCAAATAAATATTATTATAAAAGAATTCAGACCGAGAATCAACTATTCTAATGATAAGGTTCCGATGGGTAGAGCACTTTTGAGAGAGTTGCTGAAAGGGGAATCTACAACAATATAGAGCTGGAATACCGAAATGAGAAACTCGTGGAACCCGTTCTAGCAGCAGAACGAATGGGGTTACATATAAATCAAAATAATACCAAATTCATGGCGACTAACCCAAACACAACAGCTGAAAATGTTGACGCAGATTTAATCATCAATGACCAAAACTTCGAAGCAGTCTAAGAGTTCATATATCTAGGGACCTCGGTTAACCCCAATAATAACACATCTGAGGAAATAAAAAGGCGAATAATAATTGCAAACAGGTGTTATCATGGTCTATCAAAGTACTTAGCTAACAAACATTTGTCTCAAAAAACTCGTATAAGGCTGTATAGAAGACTGATAGTCTACGTTCTATGGATCAGAGGCATGGATGCTAACTAAAACAGATGAATCCGCTCTATCAATTTTAAAAAGAAAGGTGCTACGCAAGATATTCGGAGCTGTCTGTGAGAACGGAATATGGAGGCGTAGATATAACTTTGAAAAGTTTATAACAGCTCAGCCCGTGGGAATGAGAAGACGGGGTAGACCAAAGCTGAGGTGGATGGACGGCAACTGGAAAATGTAAGCAAGGAACAGATCAGAATGGCGTAGAAAGCTTGAGAAGGTCGAGGCTCTCTAAGGGCTGTAGCACAAAGATGATGATGCTTTAATGAGCGAAGAAGCTGTTTCTACTACAATTGAATATTGATGGACCAAGGAGGTGGATCGTTGATGAGGTTGGAGTCGAAAAAACTCGGAAAGTCAAAATTAAGTTCACGCAAATATGTTCTGACTTTTTCGTAATATGGTTTTCTCAAATTAACTTTTTGTACGATGTATTTTCTAGTTGTGAGTAATTTGAACCAGCAGTTCATGACTATGCTAGTGATTAAGCTAGTCACACTGTTTGGGAATTGATGTTGGAATTTTCGTAGACGTTGATTTTGTCAGCTTATTTTTAAATCATTTTTTCACGTTGGTTTAGGAACTCACTAGATATTTCTAACGGCAACTTAAGATGTGTGAAAATTAGACATGATTGTTATGAATTTATTTGGTTAAAATATCTGACCATTAAAATGGCTTAAATCTGTTTGTACAGAGTCTTTCTCAAAAAAAGTTACAGCTCTAAAATATGTTCGTTAATTTTTTGGACCACTCCTTTCCACTTGTTTCTGTTTAGTGCTATTAACTGCTATTAAATTTTAGTTTTTTTTTTATTTCTAGGTCTTTCCTTTAGTAGTCTACTAACCATTTTTGTTTTCAACATTCCTTTTGCAATTCCACAATGATTCTTCTTTGGTTTTACATGCCCTGCCAACCTCTCAGGTATCTACAATATATAATTTTTTTCATAAAAAACCTTTTATTTTTATAAATAACTTATGAATAACTTGCAATAATAATGAATCTCAAGCATAAGCTTTGGTTTGTCCCTAATAATCGCTCAAATTATTAAAAATATATACTAAGTGACATAGAAATCCGAACACCCAGTTTAAATGATTTTATTTCAATAAAATTTGGTGTAATTTATTTATCTTACTGAAAAAAAACAAGTGGTAAAGGTTTTAGCCTTATCAGTTGGAGATTCCGGTTTTTATACTTTTTGTTTTTAAATTCACTAACAATCTAAAAATGAATATTTCAGCCGGAGTAAAGATCCAAATTTGGCGGATTGTGGTTCTTGACATTCTTTACAATTGGTTACGATGCCTAGAGTATGGAGACCTGTACGATTTCGTCAACTTAGTGAGTTTGATAGGGACCATATAATGGGACTTCGCGAAGCTGGACTTTCTTTTCGGGAAGTTGCAGTTAGAGTGCAAAGGACGCCGCCGTAGAACAATAGACCGTGAAGATCGCCGCCTAAATTATTGGCCTTAAGAGACCGGTTCTCCACTACCAGCTCCATTGCAAATAAATGGTTTGCAGAACACGGAAGACCTATTGGCATGCGAAGTGTTTACCGACGAATGAGAAGTTTTGACCTGTTTTCATACCGATCACACTGGGTCCTCCCTTTAACTCCAGAACACCGCCGTAATCGCCTTCAGTGGTGAAGAGAACGGTCACTCTGGAATCAGGAATGGAATAGTATTGTCTTTAGTGAGGAGTCTCGACTTTGTTTAGGCATGCACGATGGTCGAGCGAGGATTAGAAGGCGACGTGGTGAAAGGAGGAATCCATAGTTTTTTGTTAAAAGACATGTTCATCACACTGTTGGAGTTATGGTTTGGGGTACTATAGCTTATGGTTCCAGGTCACCTTTAATCTTCATCAGAGTTAACATGAACGCGCAGCGTTATATCCAAGAAGTTCTAGAACCCCACCTTTTACCCTATCTTGACACCCTGGCAAATCAACTGTCCAACAAGATAATGCCCGACCACATGTTGCAAGAGTCACAATAGATTTCTTTCAACATGATAATGTCACATTGTTAGCATGGCCACCAAGATCTCCCGACTGATCTCCAATTGCGCACGTGTGGGATATGATGGGTAGGAGATTGCTCAATTTGCAACGTCCTCCTCAGACTCTACAAGCACTTCGAGAGGAATTGGTGGTTGCCTGGAATGAGATACCACAAGAGGACATTGACCACCTGATCAGAAGCATGCCTAGGCGCGTTGGAGAATGCGTAACACAACATTAAAGGTAAAAGGGCTCTAAAGCAATGCATTCATTTTAAAATTTTAATCATTTACTTATTATGCTTCATTAAGTACTTATTGTTAAGTATTTATATTAAAATTTTATTAAAATAAAATCAATTAAACTGGGTATTCGGATTTTTATGTCACTTAGTATATTTTGTATTTATACTTAAAACACTTACAGTAATTTTTACAATACATACGTTTTTAGACACGACCGAAAGTTTCCTTAAGTGGTCAGGATCCCCGAAGTAATGTTTATTATGCTGTAAGAGATTTGACTATCTTAGAATAGATTTTTATGAGATAATGATGACAAGCTAACTTAAAACAGAAAACAAACATTTCATAGCGTTGTAATTGTCGTACTATAGCGAAAACGATAGGGTTATTGCTATTTATATAAAAGCGTTTTACCAAAAAATATGATCGTGTTGAGCAATAGGAATTTGAATTTGTTTGTTTAAGGTGCTAACACTAAAAAACTAGTATCGGTGAGGTGTAATGTTTGATAATATCTAATGAATCATTTATAAAAAATAATGTTAAGGATGTTTTTTTCTACTACATAAAATTAAAAAAAGCAGGCGAATGGCGCACGATAGTTATATCAAGTGCAGAATATGGTACAACAATTGAATTATTTCACGTTTCGTGAAATGAATACTGTACAAAAATTCACTTTTCTGAAACATAAATTTAAGTTTAACTACATTTATTACTTGACATTTTCCATATTATACAAAAAATAGTAACATGGAAAATATAAAATAAAAATAATTCATATAGAATATAGACTGTGACAAGCTATGCTAAAATCTATAAATGCGTTTTAGAGCTTCATCAAATTCTGCATTTGCTATAATATTACCCGGTTTCCAGAGATACGATAATTCGACACTTAACTAATGGATCAATGATTTTAATATTGATGATATAAAGTCAGTGTGGATTTTCCTATAACACATATTAGATTAAACAAATGTAGACAAAAGAAGACTGTATGATAAATAATTTATGCATACAGTGTGTGTTTAAAATCTCTATTGACATCCTTCCTTCAACTATTTTCTCAACCACAAAACTTAAATAAATACATGTTTCATAACTTTTTTAAGTTTCATAACTTAAAAATTAAATTAAAAACTCAGGACTCAGTATGTCCCTATATGTTTGTATCTATATTTTCCTAAAATAGCAGCACTTCAATGTTCGGCATGTAACTGACCATTTGCAAGTTCTTGTCTTAAGTATGCTACTAGATTTTTGTACAATTCTCTCGCACGGTGACAAAGCTGTATATATTTGACAGCTAACAGACTATTATGCGGACCTATAGCCACATACGTATTTCTACGCTGTTTTTTTTTGTTTTTGACACATGCTTAGTTATTTTCACACTCTCCTTTTTCATTTCATATTCACATTTAAGGATTCTTTCATTATTGTAAAATTTTTGGAGGAAATAATAATAATACGTATTAATGATTCTGGTCAAAAAATCTTAAGACATTTGCCGCCATTTTTTATGTATTTTTGACTTCTTTTTACATGACTGAACTAGATTTGAATATAATTGAACCAGATTTGAATGTGATTGAATTCACGGCACACGATGAAACAATTTTATCTTTGATTAAATTGTTATTATCTTTGGCTATCATATTAAATTGAGTTCAAATTCTCGAAACCTAGATATTTTCACTTTTACAACTTCTTATATATCTTTTCTCCAACGTAACATGTCTTTTTGTTTTGATTCACCTTTAGGTAATGCTTCTTTCTTTATTTTAAGTATTTTATTAGTCAGTTTTTAAAACACATAATTGCTTTTATAGTCACGAATAGAAAAATCCACTCACAGCAGATTCTAGATATCCGAACTTTAAACTCAGCAGATTCAGGGACTGAACACAAACTAGTACTAGCAAAGATAAGAATGAAAATAACGCCAAAACAATATTTTCTACAGGAAATCAACGAGGAAAAATTAAATGTAGAATCACTGTGGAACGACTCTACAAGAGAAATTTACCAAAGGAGACTAGCACAGAATATACAGCTGAAACCTATAGAAGAATACGAAATGAAACAAAGCAGTTGGTAAGAAGAACAAAAAATGAATACTGGGAACAGTTTACAAAAAGGATGGAAAGCGACTTCTACGGTACACAAAAACAAATATGGAGATTTATAAGAAACCAACGGAAAGAAATGGCAGAATTGAAGGAATACAATAACATACCAGCAAACGAATGGGAAAGATACCTGTCGGAACTGTTTAAAGCAAAGGAAAATAATAATCAACATAATAACATACCTGAATTAAGGCACGAAATAGAAATCAGTTTTCAGGAAGTAGAAATAGCCATAAATTCGATCAAAAATGGAAAGTCACCAGGACCAGACGGAATAACCAACGAGCTTCTAAAATATGGAGGAGAAAGTATAACCCTAGAGATGACAAAACTACAAAAACTAATATTGCACTGCAAGATACCAGACGCATGGAGAAACAACATAATGATACCAATGTTCAAGAAAGGAGATAAAGAAGACCCCAACAATTATAGAGGTATAAATCTAATGAACACCGCACATAAGCTTACCCCAAAAAGTCCTAACCAATAAAATCAATAAATTAACAACTTTATCAGATGAACAACAAGGATTCAGATTCGGAAGATCCTGCGTAGATGCCGTATTTATACTAAGACAAATTACAGAAAATGCCATTGAGGACAATAAACCAGCATATCTATGTTTTATAGACCTGACAAAGGTTTCCGATCGCATCCAAGTCGAAGACGTCTTACACCTACTGTATAAAAGAAACATACCAATCAATATAATACAACCCATCGAAAACATCTACCTCCATAATCGAATACAGGCAAAGATAAATGGAAAACTAACACAGTGTACACCAGTACAAAGCGGAGTCAGACAGGGTGACTCGTTGAGCCCACTTCTCTTTAATATAATAATGTACGAAATAATACAAGCAGTATGTACAGGTCATGGCTACAGAATGGGGAATAAAGAAATCCAAATATTATGTTATGCAGACGACGCCGCATTAATCGCCAAGACAGAAGACGAGCTCCAAAGATTAACACATCTTCAATACAACAGCTAAGAAATACAATATGATAATATCAGCAGAAAAAACCAAATGTATGACAACATCTAAATACCCACTACGGTGTAAAATCAAAATTGAGGGGAAAATAATAAAGCAGGAAGCAAGGTTTAGATATTTGAGAATAGATATAACTAGTTACGGAGATGTTGAAGAAGAAGTACGACAACAAAGCTTAAAAGCAAGTAAAGCGGCGGGTTCCCTTAATGACATAATCTGGTAGAACAAACACCTAAGACAAGAAACAAAAACAAGAATCTATAAAGCAGCAATTGGATCTATATTAACATATACGGCGGAGACAAGATCTGACACATCTAAAATGAGACGACTGCTAGAAACAACAGAGATGAAAATACTCCGACGAAATTCAGGGAGAAGTCTGTTGGATAGGGAGAGAAGCGAAAACATAAGAAGAGCATGCAATATAGAAGACATAAATGGATGGGTGACAAAACGAAAAGAGGAGTGGAAAGAACACATCAGTAGTATGGCAGAGGATAGAATAGTACGAATAGCACGAGATAAGTCACCAAATGGTGACTATATTTAAGAATAATTGACCTGATATTTAAGAAGAAACAGGCTTTAAAGCCTACATACTAGAAGGAAGAAGAAGAAGAAATTTTTAAAACCAAATATAATGAAGTTATTCTAGTAACATCACTGTTTAATTAGTTAAGTGTTGAATTTAGCGCACCTTCAGAAAACTGGATCTAAAACTAATAGTAAAAGCTCACCCTTAATCTTTGGGCCTCTTCAATACTAGCAGTGGCGTGATAAGACAGCACATCCAAAATAACTTTCTGTTTCGCGACGGCTGTCGTAGCTGCTTCGTACATCCTCGTATTGTGGATGCCCATTCCGCAGAAAATAGAGAACGCTTCGACGAAATTTTCGTCATTTTGTGTAAAAGGGAGATCATTAAACTTGTTTATTAACTGTATAACGCCGATGATTTTGTTTTTGGAGTTTTTGATCGGCATGCATAGGACGGTTTTGTGCTTGAAGTTTGTACCTTCGTCGGCCTCTGGGTCGAAGCGGGAGTCGTCGTAGACATTCGTGAGGTTTACGGTCTGAAAAATATGAAAAGAAGTATTAAGAACAATTTAGTGCTACACATTAGGGCAATGAACAAATTTTACGATCTGATACATTTTTTACTTCTTCAATGTTGGAAATAGTACGTTTAACATACCCTAATGACAGCGCCAGTTTAACCCTTTGTTCCCCGATGGGACTCTAAGGTCCCACATAATTTAAAATAAGTGGCTAAGTATAATATTTCATAGTTATCAATAAATTCGTGACAGGACTCTCGAGTACACATTATTCTTCTACTTAGGCAACCAAGAATATGCTTAAATATTTTCGTTAGTGTGACAGAGCAACGACTGCCTCAGCTGTGTTGTGTGTTTTGTTAGTATTGTTTTCTAAGTTATCAGAGGGTGGAGTATAATTTATTGTGAATTTGAGCTCATTGTTATTTCAAACACACAAACAAATATTAGTTATTGAATTAGATTGTACAAGGAGACTTTACCAAAGCAATTTATCTACTGGACTTCTAATTCCTGTCAGGGATTTGACAGGTATGTTATTGTATATGTATTATTTATTGAAAACAGGGTGTATCTAGGGAAAAGGAAAAATTGGACGCAAGGACGTTCCTATGAGTACTAAAAACTAAATGAAAATAACAGACTCCGCCAAGCCTATTGCATCAATAGGCGGTCCAAAAAAATGGAGGCACAGCCTATTTTTTGGAATTGTTGATATTGCATTCGTTAATAGTTACATCGTCTATAAAAAACTTCATCCCGAAGAGCATCTTACGTTACTTGATTTTAGAAGAGGAGTTGCCCTAGGACTCATGAATCAAACCAAAAATCCTCTCACACAAAATAAGCGCGGATCGGCGTCTTCAGTGACACTTCGAAACAGTCCACAAAATTCTTTGGTATGTGCAAACCGTAGGAAATATAACTACAGTGTTTCTGACGACGTTAGACTGGGCAACCGTGGAGTGCACTGGCCAATTTTTACCCCAAAAAGAGGTAGATGCGAACAATGTTCATCTGTTGCAATAGAGTCACGACCATATTCAAAATGTTCAAACTGTTCGGTATATCTATGTGTTAATGATAAGAAAAATTGTTTTACCAAATAACATAATATTACTGAATAAACAAGCATGTAACATTGTGTAGTTGTATAAGTTACCATCACTCTCGTCCAGAGTTGCCAGGTGAAAATTTTTGTCCTCCCTAAATTGAACATTAAAATGTCCTAGAAATCCCTAGATTGGAATAAATGTATATATGGTTGCCTAATTCTGAATAAAATTATGGAATGTATTGATGGTTGCCTAATATAATAACATGGAATTAAAAAAAGGTATAATTTACCGAAAGTACAAGCTGATTATAGCCACAAATGTCAATATTTCGTTATAGCAGTGTTGGCATGTTTTTATAATGTAGATGCTGTGTAAATATTTCTTTCTTTGGAGATTAATTGCAGTTAATTATTAGAATTTTTTTAGCAATTACACTTTGGTAGATTAGGGGATAGATTTTGTTGCCAGATTACAACATATGTTTGCAATTAATCTCGGAAGAGACTAATATAAATCATAAATATCATTATATCATAAAATAGTATAATCAAAATATACTTTTTAAAAGCTGTATCTCTTTATATTTGAAGCATACAATATTTGCATTATAAAAACATGCCAACACTGCCAAGCCGAAATATTTTTGACATTTGCGGCTATGTTCAGCTTGTGCTTTCGGTAAACTCAACTTAAAAAGTAATTGTTGTTTTATACCTTTATTTTGATTTGAATAGATTTAACAAAAACGGAATAATTTATGGAACTTATTTATGGCTTTGAATATTCCTTTTAATATATTATTAAGTATTATTCACTTAATAAAATTAATACAAAATACAACTTGAAAAGAATTGAGATGGTGAAGCATATAATTTTATTTATATATTTCCACGAATCCTGGGATTCACCCGATTCCTACTGTAAATCCCCTAATTATTTATTTTATAAAACCTAAGATTTTTGTAAATCCCCTAATTCCTTCTCCAGAATTTGCTTCTCCTCTATGAAAATATAAAGGATTCTATTTTTGGCAGAAATCTATTTGGTAGCATGAAATAAAGATTCCAAGAACGTGGACAGTTAACGACATCTGATAATAGAATCCTTTAGTAGTTTACTAGTAGTTTAAGTATTTGTAATTAACGATCGCTTATTTAATACTGTTAATACGAAGTGGTTTTATACTTGAATTAAAGAAAATGTTATTATAATAGGCCCATGTAGGTAAATATTTGAGCCGGTCAAAAATCCCTACATTTTACCATAAATATTAAAAAAATCCCTTTGTCCCTTTTATGCTGAAATATCCCTAGATTCGGGATAAATCCCTAGACCTGGCAGCCTTGCTCTCGTCCCTGACGGGACTTGTAGGTCCCGGCTCCCCACTACTTATAGGAGGTTGGGCAAAAAATTTGAAACAATTATTTTATACTATTTACACATCCCTTTAATAATATTTGTACTCCTTTTTCCAAAATTTCTAAGAAATCTTATTCCGGGGAACAAATTTTACAATCTGATACATTTTTTTTCTTCTTCAAGAAATCAGATGGACACGTAGTGCTAGCCTAGAAAAAAAAAAGACTACACTCTCTACTACAGCGGAGATAAAAATAATCATATTTTTGGCGAGGGATTCATACTGAATAAACGACTGAAATCAGAAGTCGTAGCTTTCGATTAAACAAGTCCAAGGATATGTAGAATCCGAATTAAAGGCAGGTTCTTTAATTACAGCATTATCAATATTCATGCTCCCACTGAAGATAAAGAAGACGAGAAGGACATATTTTACGAGAAACTGGAAAGCTCTTACAGACAATGTCAGAACAACGGCATAAAAATTATTATTGGTGATTTTAACGGTAAAGTCGGCCAAGAGACTATTTACCGACCCACGATCAGCGAGCATAGTCTTCATGCTGTCAGCAACCAAAATGGTTTACGCCTGATTGAACTCGCAGCATCACTGGGAATGGTGGTAGTAAGTACATGTTTTCCTCACAAAAATATCCATAAAGCCACATGGCAATCACCAGACGGTAAAACAAAAAACCAAATTGACCATGTACTAATTAATAGTCGACATTTCTCGGACGTACTAGATGCAAGAGCATGTAGAGCCAATGTAGACTGGACCACTACCTTGTGAGGACAAAACTCAGAGCTCGTATATCAAACGATAAGAAGGGCCAGAGCACAACATCTACAAAATATAATATTGATGTGCTAAAATCTGAAGACGCTCGGGATAACTACAGGAAAATTTTAAATGAAGAGCTAACAAGAATCGACGAAAATTTAAGCATAGAAGAACACTGGACCAAATGCAAGGAAGCTATCCATACAGCGGCTAAAGGCTTTTTAAAACCTAACCAGGCTAAAATAAACGAAGATTGGTTTGACGAAGAATGTAGATCCATTAACCAACAGAAAAATGAAGCATACAAGAGATTTCAGTAGCGCAGAACGAAATCAAACCTGGAAGATTATGAAAATCTTAGACGAGAAGAAAAAAGGACATTTAGAATGAAGAAGAAAGAGTCATACGAAAACGATCTAAACGAGATTGTTAACCACCACAACAGAAAAGACTCGCGAAAATTCTACCAGAAGATAAAGAGCTGCAGAAAAGAATTCAAATCCAGAATAACAGCATGTAAAGAGAGAGAGATGCACCCTCTTCACAAAAAAGTAGATATAATGGTGTGTGATAATTACAGAGGCATCACTCTACTTAACGTGGCATATAAAGTATTGTCCAACGTATTGTACAGACGATTGATCCCCTATGCTGAACAAATAGTTGAGAACTACCAGTGCGGTTTCCGACCCAATAAATCAACAACGGATCAAATTTTTACAGTCAAACAGATTCTTGAGAAAACGTTTGAGTTCTGAGTCGACACCCACAACATATTCGTGGATTTCAAAGCCGCATACGACTCAGTGAACAGACAAAAACTTCTACAGGCTATGGTGGAATTTCAAATGCCACTTCATCTTGTTCAACTTACGGAACTTACACTCACAGAGTGTAGTCAGAATCCAAAACGACTTTTCAAGACCCTTCCATTATAAAAATGGACTGAGACAGGGAGATGGACTGTCGTGTCTCTTATTTAACCTTGCACTAGAAAAAGTAATTCGAGAGAGTGCCATATTAATACGAATGGCACTATTTTTAACAAATCTGTACAAATGGTCGGATATGCAGATGACATAGACATAATTACTAGGTCCACAGAATCTCTGATCGAAGCATTTCAATCATTAAGGGCGTCTGCACTGAGAATAGGATTAAAAATAAACGAACAGAAAACCAAGTATATGTATTGTACTAGATCAGGCAACCAGATACCTAGACTATTAATTGATGATCTGGAACTGGAAGGTGTGGACACCTTCGTCCTACCTGGGCTCGCTGCTGACCAAAGACAACAATGTCAGCGAAGAAATTAAAAGAAGAAAGTGTTTGCCAATAAGTGCTATTATAGCTTGAGGAAACAGATGGCCCCAAAACTACCCAGAAAAATTAAAATTCCATATATAAAACACTAATAAGGCCAGTATTAACATACGGGTCAGAAACGTGGTCACTTACACAGAACGACCAAGAACTGCTTAAACGCTTCGAGAGAAAAATTCTATGGAAAATATATGGAGGAGTCCAAGAACAGGGTTTGTGGCGTAGGCGCTACAACTTATACAGAAGTTGTAGCGCTAATACAATTTGTTAAATTTACTAATGTTTGTATTTTGAGAACGATTTCCTAAGTGGAAATTGAAACGTGAATAAACGTACTTTAACCTTTAACTGTGACTTATTCCCATTTAAATAATAATTAATATGAATATTCCTGTTTTAAAATAGCCTTTAAGTAGTCCTGATCTATTCCATATAAAGACTCTTTGGCATCAGATGAAAAAAGCAGTACGAACTACACCAGTTCGCACAATTTTCAACCAGATTACTGCCAAAAATTAGTTGGCTCTATGACAAAGAGAATTGATTCCATTTTAAAACGTAAGGGTGACTTCACACAGTGGTAATGCCGAATAAAAATATACGATCTAACTAATTTGCACCAGACATACTTGTTATTTATATAATTAAACTTTTATGGTATACAAGGCAACTATCGAATACAGCAATTAATTAAATCTTGTCCAAGTACTTTCGATCAATAGATCATCTTCAGGGGCATTTCGTCAGTTGTGGCCTATCCGACATGAGTAGAATGTCATACATGTAAATTTGAACATAACAATACAATACACAAAGACAAACACTTTAAAATAAAATGAAAAAAATTCTGTCTCCGGCTTCTATACAATGTAGCTTCTCCTTTTTAAAAATTTTAAAGTGTTTGTCTTTGTGTATTGTATTGTTATGTCCAAATTTACATGTATGACATTCTACTCATGTCGGATAGGCCACAACTGACGAAATGCCCCTGAAGATGATCTATTGATCGAAAGTACTTGGGCAAGATTTAATTAATTGCTGTGTTCGATAGTTGCCTTGTATACCATCAAAATTTAATTATTCGAACATTCAACCTTATATTGATTTATATAATTATTGTGATTGGCAATATTGGGCATTGTTTATTAATTGGCAAAACCACACATTATCAAATAAGGTTAATTATATCCATTTAATTTACAATATTTAAATAAATTCTTATTCAAAAACATAAAATTGTGTTGCATTAAATTCATATGCGTCTGTCCCAACATTCGCATGACATACCATAGCGATTTTCCTTCTATCATCAACTTCTTTTTCTCAAGAACTTTTCAACCATGGAAGTGTGAAAAGGTTTCTCCAACAGACATTTCCTTGGCCTACATGAGTGCATACTATCCTTACCTCTGGCAATATATTGTACTAATATGTATACAATATACTTATGTAGGGTATATTTACAATATACTCATCAAAATCAATTACACGTAATATTGGCACAATTTACACAGAAGCATAAAATTGTATTGCATAAAATTCAGATGTGTCTGTCACAACATTCGTATGACATACCAGAGCGTTTTCTGTTCTATCATCAACCGGAAGTGCGAAAAGGTTTCCCCAACGGACATTTCGTTGGTCTAGATGAGTGCATAGTATCCTTAATTCTAGCTATATATAATATATATATGATATATATATTGATATATTGTACTATTATGTAAGTATATTTACAATATACTTATCAAAATCAATTACACGTAATTTATACCAAAAATTGTAATTGTCTTAGCTGTTAAGTAATCTTACCGGGGACCTGATGATGAGTAGAATATTATAATGCTCGAAACCGGTCGTCCAAGTTACGAATAAAATAGTGTTATGTCAATCGTTCATTTTATGAGAATCGAATCAATCAGTGACCGACTCCGAATACGTTCGTTTTAAGACTTTTCATTGCCATTTAAAAGAAATAACGAGTAACCGATTGATTGAGCTGAATCGAATGAAAACCGAGAGTACCTATTGCTTACGGTATGTAATATGTGTATTCACCTTCACATAATTACTAGAATATCACGTTTATTTTTATCACCTAAATATATATTTTTCAATATTTAAGTTCGTACATATTCTTAAGAAATTATTCGAGAAGCTAGAATTTGTTATATTTTTGTTTTTAGGTTCTTAGTGTAACTCAGAAATAATTATAAATTTATATGGAAATATGCGATGCATCTATATATTTATTATCATTTACACGTTTGGTCTTGCTCTAACTTTGTTTAAAAGGCGTGCAAATAGATATTTTATGATTTTAACTACCTACTAACTATTAACAACACAAGCGAAGGTAATCGTTGGGGCCCGATAGAATATTTTGCACTTTTTAATGATTCAATTAGCGGGATTCAGTCGTTCAATACTTTGAAGTGATTGAATAAAAAAGAACGAATCAATCGCGATTGATACAACACTAAAATAAACAGAATGTGAGTAAAGTTAAGAGCGCACTGGGTCGGGAACGGTACGATACGGACAGTAATTAAAAAATTATTGTAAGTTTTATGTTAGTGGCAGAAGAAGAAGAGAAGGCAACAAGTCAAAGGAAGGCCAGATTTTGGATTCAAAAAATAAATAGGAAGAAATTGGAACTATGGGAGTTTCATACCCTTTATGGGAGTTTCATTTCCCGACTTGATCGAAGATGATTGCAAGTTCTTACCGATTACAATACAATCGTCCGTACCGAAACTTGCGCGCTCTGCCAGAACAGGTGATGAATCATCGGTCAGTCATGCCAGAATATCCTGATACTTCTTTCATAATTTTCGAGGACGGCGTAGAGTGCGATCGTCCTGTCCTGACCGTGATGTCCAAGTATGCGCATCACAAGAGAAATCAGTGTGTGCTAAGCTTATGTCTTCCTTTTTCTTTCTTAAATCCTTTGGAGGAACTAGCTCGCATGTGCAATCGATTTATCATTCGTCCTCTTTATGTACTGCGGTATTTTGATTATCTTTTTTACCACTACCATTGTGTAATAACATACTGCATTAAATCAAACTTAAAAATACTAAATAACCTAAAACTATTTCAAAACGAAAAGTTAAAAAAATATTTAAAATATACCACTTACTTCCCCTGTAGTTGCGACATGGCCTGTTATTCCTAAATTGATCGGAAATCTGCCTTCCAGTGGACTAAAACAAAGTTAAAACTTGAGTTTTATAATATATATATTATAAAATCTAAGATTTGCAGTCGACATTGTTCTGATTGTTAATAATCCTGCAAAACTACAAGAACTTATAAGCGACTTAAATGCAGCTAGCAATGAAGTTGGCCTAAAAATAAACTTGACAAAAACATAAATCTTGAGAATCTTTTGGTAGAAATGCAGTTATATTCAAATCGAAGATGCCAATCCACCCGAAGAAAAAAGTATTCGATCAGTGTATACTACCAATCTTGACATACGGCTGCGAAACTTGGACACTAAAGAAAGAGATAATATAGAAACTCAAAGATCAATGGAGCGATGCATGCTAGGTATAACAAAGAGAGATCGAAAAAGAGTAGAATAGATGAGACAGAAAACCAAGGTTATTGATATAATCTATAGAATTAAATCTTTAAAATGGCAGTGGACGTAAAATTTAGAGACCAAGTAGATGTCCATATTTAAGATGGGACTATGACATAAGGAAACAAGCCGGTACAACATGGCACAGAAAAGCGAATTTAAGACAATCGTGGGCAGATATATGAAGAATGATATGTAAGGGAGGATATTATGTACACCACAATCGTTAGAATATGCTGAGAATATACTATATATATATATATATATATATATATATATATATATATATATATATATATATATATATATATATATTTATATATATATATACAGCGATGAGTGCCGTACCACTCGGCTTTTTAACGTAAGAGATAGAAAACACAGGGAGTGACAAGAGTGTATAAAACTCCTCAAATCATAGCAGAAATGATTCTTGGTTAATAATTTAAAACTTTAGATTAAATAATCATTTGTGGTATTAAATAATCATTAGATTAAATAATCATTTGGTGTATTGTGGTAAATCAGTTTGTACTTTACGCGAAATTAAAAAATGGAAATACGTCACACATACGACGTCAAACATATTAATTATGACCGAGGTGATTTAGCTCGAAACTAACGTCTAAAGGTGTGAGACTATCGATAGTGGTAATGTAATGTAATGTAAATTATAGGTTTCTATCGATTATTTCCCACCTCTACGAGTTTCATCTCTTTTTATTGCACAAGGTAACAACTGTGTTTTCTATCTCTTACGTTAAAAAGCCGGGAAGTAAAGCATTCATCACTGTATATATATATATATATATATATATATATATATATATATATATATATATATATATATATATAGGTGTAAACATCTTAAATCGACAACTATTTGCACACTTTCAAATATAATCTGTATATTCGATGTAATCAGGTATTCAACTGTATCATAAGCAGTTAAAACATCAATAGCAAAATTAACATATCGAAGTTTTTTATACAGCACTATTTTATAGATGTAGACATGGACTTTATAATCTTGATGTGCCAGTGTGCTATTATAAGACCCCGGAGGGGTTATTAGATGTCTAGAATGTGTTTGACATTGAGGTAAATAAAAAAGATCAATACTTTAAAATATCAGTCTTATATAATTTTGTATTGGATAATAAATAACTTGAATAAAAAACTGAAATAAATATTCCGACTATATGAAACTAAAATTAAAACTACACTGAAAAAACATTGGATTGTGATCTATTGATTGCGTGACATTTATTAAAGAGTTTTATATCATTCTTTTATGCTACGGAAAAAATTTATAAAAACATCTTTGAAAGAATGTTAGTTATAAAATTTAGTTCCTTCGATTTCCAGCATTCATTAAAAACCAAGTGATATATCCTTGGAATTTCTGTTTTCTGATCCAGCACCGAGAAAAATAGATATGGAATAGCCCTCAAAACAATACCTACGATTCATCATACATATCTGTCATAATTGCACACTCTTCAGGAATCAGTTCCTTATGTTACACCTGAATTTCCAAAAGTTTCTTTAAAGTAGACATTGATGTGTACAATATTCAATTATTGAGCCCACCCCATACACTCGTTTAACATAAATGATGACAATAACAGTATGAACATCATCATATTTAAAATGAAATACTAGAAAGTTAGTTACCATTAATTTATTGTAGTTCATGAAATTCATAATCGCTGAAATGTGTTGTGTTATATTGGTGTCTCATATTCTTTGTGTTTTATGAGCACTTACCTAGTTCTGCTCTCTCCGGCCTCGATAATGTTAATGTCATTTTCTTCGAAATCAAATACTCTCGAGAAGCTAGCTGATGAGTCTTGGTGCGTTAGAAGGATCTAAAAATCATACATTAATATTAGAATTAAGATAAGGGTTCCGACAATTTTAAAACACATTTAAAATATCAAATTCATATTTAGAAATTATTGGAAATTAATTTTTGTGCTAATTGTTACTAATGTTGTTACTCTGTAATCGTAAGAGTGTAAGATATTGCTAGGGTGGCAAAGGTGCACAATGTACCAGCTAATAGTATGGAGCTATTGTATTCTGGTGAAAATGGACAGGCACTGTAAAAACGCCTTCGGCTTAGCTCTCCGAGAGGATTCTCCAAGAATTAAGCGGAATAGGATGGCACACTATGTGATGCGAGTAAATGGACTACATAAATGAATAGAACGGGAAAATTGAAATGTAGGGTAAGTAAAACGATTGAGCAGATGCGATGTGTATGAATAAAGAAGAATTAGATCTAATCCTACAAAAAATATAAGCAGTTTTTTTAGTAGGGTTTCGAAATCTGCGAGACTTAAAAAGACCATGAACTCATCGAGGTAAACTAACATCTCTGACCCAGAGGTTCATGGGGCAAGGTATTTTCGGCTCACATGGAACGAACCGGCTTCTACATAAAATATACTATTAACGAGGAAACTGATGTGTGTTCATTGTAAAGGAAGATACTACAGAGCATATTATTGTAAAGGGAAATATGAAGATACTACAGAGCATATTCTTTCATGCGAGTGCTGGATGGGATAAAGACGGGACTGAGGTGAGAAGATCACAGTGGTAATGCTGTTTGAACTAATGCTACGCATCAAGAAAGATTGGAAATTCGTGAATAGTATGGTTGTTGCAGTAATGAAAAAAAAAAAAAGAGATTTAAAAGGAAGTGAAAAAAAGCACAGCGATGATGACATAGTTCAATAGTAGAGTATGCTCCCTTTAACAGATAAAGCTGTTAGTGGGTAGAAATCCCAAAATACTATCCGGCAGTGCCGGATATGTGACATCTACTCTTGAGCTCACTTTGCTATTAAATAGTTGTTAACATGGTTATACCTCTGTCGTTGTCACACGGGACCTGGTTGTCTTTTTTATGTAACAGGCAGATCACGCCTTGAGACCATTCACAAGGCATGACTTAATCTTCCAGATTTGCATGGCTTCATAATGCAGTGTGTAACAGGGCGTCGCCATCATTTTTTGTAGAGCTTACTGCAAATTACCATATCCGAGAAATATGTATAGCAGAAAATCGTTACAGATTTACTGGTCATTTGGTGTACTGCGTCTTCTCATATAACATCTTGGGATTTCTAGGGTTCAGTTTTCACCCTAGGGTACTTCAAATCATGTTTCACATGTGTAGCGTTAGTTTGTTTATTTTTCTATTTGATATTTACATAACTCTTGTTTGTTAATAATGTTTCGATTTCTTCCTTGCGAAAACCACATTTAGATTTTATACTATAGCAAAAATCTTACTATTTTTCACATAAAATTTATTTTGAAGAACTCCTCCGAAGAAACTCTAAGATAAATATGATTAGAAAGTTGTCATACAAGTTATACAAATACCTTGAAGAAAATAAATTTTATTGAGTTAATTTTTAAAGGATTTATATCATAACTCGTACTGCTAAAAATGACAACTACTTATATCATAATGATACGTATCATTAAAGAAGGCCATAGACATATATAATACAAGATAGACTAATGAGAAGGTCACGTGGTCGATAAATCCGGTCCACTGGACAGACACAGGAACTGCTTTACGTCAGTTTTCTCTGTCGTACTGGGGGAACGTTACTGTATCTAAGCGGTCAGTCTATCTTGTACTATATGTCAATAAATAAGAGGAAACTCCGAATACCCTAACATAACGGAAGACAAAAGCGTAGACATATTAATAAAAATTAGACTGAGTGCTATTATAATACAGACCCGTTCCCAAGTGCAACAGAGAAAACTGACACAAAAGTACCTGCATCTCTTTCTAATGGGCCGGGTTTATCGACCACATGACCTTCCCATTGATCATTTACGTCACGTGGTCAATAAACCCGGAATATTTAGAAAGATATGCATGGACAAAAAGTTATTGACGTTTATGTAACCATAAGCAAAAGTAAAATATTGTCAGTGATAAGTTTTTGGTAACGTAACTGTTAAAAAAAAATAAATACAAAAAACTGTTTGATTCTTACCTGTACTCTCTGACATTGAATAAGACTTTGTGCGTGAAGTAAAATCCTATACACGACGTGCTCTAACGTTGATTGCTCTTGAAATATCATTCTAGCCAAATCCAAAAGCACTTGGTTCCGTTTTATCTCTAATTGTGACTTTTCATAAAGGTGTGCGTTTCTGAGCCCGATACCACAAAACTGTAGATACTTTGAAAATACTTCTTCGTCGGTTTTAGTGAAGGGTTGTTCACCGACTTTATTTATAACCTGAAATAAGTAATATAACAATATCAGTAATATGACCATTTTTTAATAAAAAAAACACTATAAAATACAGTGTACGTCATTGATTTTCTTCCTTGTTATTATCCTTTCCCTTATAAAGAGGAATTTAAGTTATGCTTACATGTAAATATCAGACAAATTTACTGCTTTCCCTTGATTTTTTGAGACATGTTCCTCAATATTATCATTTCATATTAACAAAGATATAAGAAGGAGGGAAACTGTAAGAACTATTGTTAGTCTTTGATGGAATGGGATATTGTCACTCAATTTGGCACTTTGAGTTCCCATATACGGTTTGCGAGATCTTTGTAATATTCTGAGCGATTCCAAACTCTTTCATCACATTGCACATCTCATATTTCGTAATGGGATAAAATGATTTCTCCAAATCTATGCAAGCACAAAAATAATAAAACCCAACATGTTGCTCATCATCGTCCAGCCTTCATTTATCATGTCCACTGCTGGAAATAGGCCTCCCTTAAACTTCTCCACTCTTTACGATTTTGTGCTCTTTGTTGCCAATTTTTGATGTACGCCCGACGTCGTCAGCCCAACGTGTAGGTAGTCTTGCTCTACTACAATTTGTCTGCTCTTAGCCTCCAATTTGTAATTTTGCTCGTCGTTCCTTCTTGTTACATGACCTGCCCAATTCCGTTTTAGTTCCGCTATGCGTTCCACAACATCAGCAATACTCGTCCTTCTTCGCAGATCTTCGTTTCTTAATCGATCCCGCAACGTCACTCACAGCATAGACCGTTTCATTCGTCACTGTGCGACTCTTAATTTCGAAGCCGTAGTCTTGTTTAGAGTCATACTTTCCGCCCCATAGATCATGATCGGTAGTACGCATTGGTCAAATTCTTTTATTTTGAGGCTAATTGTTATGTTGACTCCAAGTGTGTCTCGCAGTTTTCCAAAAGTTGACCTGTTACTCAAGGGCACCTTAAATTCAATAAAACTATAAAATTAGATATATACTTACTTGTGCTACTCCTATCACATCACCATTGGTGTCCTTAATGGGCATACATAATAAAGATTTCGTTCTATACCCCGTTCGGTTATCAACTTCCTGGTTAAACCTTTTGTCCTAAAACACAAAAAATAATATTATAATTATTAAATTTCACAACTTCAATCTTAAAGGTTTGTCTTAAAACCAAATAGTGAAGAGACTGAGGTTTTAGAATAAGACTAGTACTGACAATAATTCCTTAAATGAAATCAAAAGTTCGAACCGATAAAATGTGACACGGTTAAACTCAAAAACTATACTTAGAAACTAAAAAAAAAATGTTACTTTAGATTCTCAACAATTTGGTGATTTCTTCTAGGTCAAGAGTTTTCTTTTTTTCTTAAAATCATTCTGTTTACAACTGTCAGCTCATTACAAATATAAATCCATGGATTATGTACCTAACAGGTATGAAAATCATGGGTCAGTGTTGGAGAATAAAAGGGACAGACTTATATATTAAATAAAATTAATGTTACAGCGGGTACATCGTATTTATATCTAACATTTAAGCAATGGTATAAATTAAAAACTTATCACTATTATATGATTTAATCATAAATTATGGATTTACATCTGTTCCTCTTATTCTGTATCAGATATTCTGTATCTTTTGATTTCCATAGCAAAAACCGAAGTAATTTCCACAGCTTATCTCGGCTGAAGTGAGAAAAATTATAATCTCTTGTTGCATTTAATATTGTATGCAATGTAAGAATATCCTTGTATTGAATAGATTATCTTCATTATAGGGAAAAGAACGAATGAACTTTTCTCTGAAGGACGTTTCTATGAAAGTCATCAATTTGTTGTTTTCCTCAATGTCTTTTTGGATCAGTAATGTTTCCTTTCTTTCTTTCACTTTAAAATCTGTAAATGAATATTTCACTAGCACCTGTCATACCGAAGTCACTACGTTATTAACCATTGTTAAATGTTGTTGGTGGGTGAACAAGGGAGTCGTGAACATTCAACACAATAGTTTTTTCTCTCAGAGTATACGCGTAGTTTTTAATTAAGTTTAAGTTTTGCCATTTTAACGCATGTACTGAACTGCTAACTGATAAAATAACATGGACGGTATCAAATTCGTCACAACTTTCCCTTACACGGTCGGCAGGTAGGCAGGTACCACAAAGAGAATTTGTCAAATTGTAACATTTTTTTATAAAATTAAAATATTAAATAATTTTTAATTCTTTTACCCCCGTTGCTGATATGACCATGGTCGTATTCGCAAATAGTTTGTTAAATTTTGGAAAGTACTTTGGAAAACTAATCCTTTCCTTCTTTTTGAAAAATTTGTTAAATATCGTCGAACGCACGTTTATATAATTTGCTGTAAGAACCCAATCCAAAAGATTTTATTTTTCTGATGTTCCAACTTACTAGTACCGTAATTACCTCGAACCTTTCGATGTTCGTTACAACCTTACCTTCTTAGAAATCATCGAGTTAGAATCTATGGAGAGGACATCACATAACTAAAAACGACCTCACTTCGGCCATATTGTTAAGATTGTTTTGACACTTTTGACAGATCGTATATGTTTGTACACATTTGTTGTTTTTCGAATATTTTTAGTTTTATAATACTTTTATAGAAACTGTAATAATATATAGTGATAGTGCATAATAATGGTTTCTTGTTCTCAACGTAGTTGCAGTAGCAGAAGCAATGTTAATAAAAAATCTTCAGGAATATCGTTCCACAGGTTAGTATACAAATATGTAAACAAAGTAATGGCCCGTACTTCAGAGAATAAATTAATAGTATTTGAATGTATTAATTTATCTTTATGTATAATATATCGTGTTTTTAGTGTTTACCGCGGGATAAATAAATCATAGTTTATTAAAAATGTATTGCACTTTTTTAGATTATGATTAAATCTTCTGAATAACTAGTCATATTTGTATAGTAGTTTTAATATTATTGAGTCTGGCCCTGACCCCACCGCCATATTGATATTATCTTTAGCCACACCTACCTACGCCGTTTTTAATACATACGTTAATATGCTCATATCTTCTCCATATATTCTAACTCGATGTTAGAAATACATACTGTCTGGCCTGCCAGTTTTAAGTGGAAGTTACCCCACCCTTTTTTGGGGGAAGCTTTGGAAATTTTTAAAAGAACCAGATTACTTCTGGCGGGACATGCTTTGCGTAAGAACGCTCGCCATATCTTACCGTCTCTGTTCTCTGTGAATTTTTGTAAGTAAGTATTTGCGTATCGTAATCTAATACCACATTAGATTAAATATTGGTATAGAGTACCTTTTAATTTAACTAACTTCAGTGCTTGATACAAGTAAAGTATTATAGTAAAGTACATTAACTTCAGTGCAGTGTAGCATTCATAAGATTTACTGGGCGAATACTATGGTATTATATTATCTTTAATTATCTGGGCGAATCTACATTCAACCATTTCTTCACCTGTAGTAACTACTGATTTTGCTTTCAATTTAAAGAACATTTAATATTTTCTTATGAACTTTCCATCAGCTATTAAGAACATCTAAATTACGAACATTTAATTCTCAGTTAATCATTAAATAACCGTGCGAGATAGATAATTAACTAAGACCAAGTGCGGGTTGGTTTAATTTTTATAATACAGCATTTTTGTAACCTTTTTGTATTCTTGTGAATTTAAATTTGATTAATTTTTGTTATTTGCTATAATTGTGATACATCTTTAACCCGTTATCTCGAGGTACGCCTATTAAACAGCAAAGAGAGATTTTCTTTAATCAACTTTAGTTGAATATTTTAAAAAGCATCAGACTCCTCTTCACTGATAATTTAAACTGTGCATGATTTTGATATTCTGTATTTGTAAAGGTATTTATTATTCATAAAACTATTTATTTTTATATCTATACCACCATTTAATAATTGATACTGTATTTTTATTGCTTATGTGTACATTCAGCCTCTTACATCATTGTGTTGTTAAATATATTGTTTTTGTTTTATGTATGAATTTTATTTGTCGACTCCTAACAAGTTTCCTTATAGAACAATACCTCTGAATATTTGCTTATTATATTAAATTATTATTATACCTTCGACTACAAGAAAGAGCAGGCTGATTAAGTTTCGTAGGTAAGTAAATATATTTATTATTTGTTTATGTAGAGTGTGATTTGATCTCAGAACCTAAATATCTTTCCTTATCTCGTTTCTTTTCTAAGGTTTCTTAATTTTCTCCTTAAACCCCAAAAAGTTAAGTGGCGCCCTGTTTCTATCTTATCTTTGGTAATTTTACCCATCTCTCTTTTTGTTTAATTCTGTATCCTTCCTAATATATCTTATCTTGTCTCATCTTTACTTATTTCGCCCGTTGGACCCATTCACGGTTCCAAAAGCTAGTTTCGAACCCACGACTCGCTCTTCACCAACCATCTGGCTGCCGTCCGCAGTGTCTCCATTGGTGACCTTTCTAGCACCATCCAAAAAAGGTTTCCGAGGTTACAAAATTTGTCAATTGTTAATAAAGAATTATCTCCTAATTAAACAAAGTATTCTATGAATGTAATAGTATAACTATGCCCTATAAATTCAAAAATAGCACTGAATCCATTGGGCTCCATTTTTTTTCTTACCATCAGTTGAATACAGGACTCCACATAAGTCACACTTCCAATCATCTATTTTACTTTTTTTTTTATTTTTGGACAGATTTGTATGAAGTCGAGGGCTGTTGCTGAAGATTTTCTGTTACTGAAGTGTTTTTATTTGTCGATGTTAAGCATTTCACACTTGAGTCCCTTTTTCTTGACCTCTCTGGACGTTTTGAAGCTGTTGGTGTTTTCAAAATATGATCGACTGTGGCTTTGGGATTTAAAATAAAAGTTTCAGGTGCTGCGTCAGTTGAAACTGGAGAAGCAGGAGCTATGTCAGTTAAAGATGAAGGGCGTAATGTTTCTTTTGGAATAACATCTTCGTCTAACGTAAAGAGAGAAGTTGCTTCGTGAAAAAATTAAAGAGCGGAAGGAAAAGAAAGAAAATACAGGTATCTAATGGTTTATGGCATTGACGGTCATCCTTAACCTCTATATGAAGATTTGCATTTGCGATGAGCAGTTGCAAATAAATAGAATATAGTCTTGACATTGCCAATTCTATGTACGATTGTTCAACTTGTATGTTACTCTCTGTTATTTATGTTGTCTTAACTTTCCGCCTAATGGGTATATCGTTTTTTTGCAATGGAAACTAGCAGAAGATACTTAGTTCATATATTTTTTCAATTTTTCTTAATAATTGTCAATTTGATTTGTTATATAAACATTATGTAGATATGTAATATCTAAAAATAACTGTCTACAACGTACATTTATTGATCACATACCGAATATAAATTTTTAGACAGGTAAATAATATGATTGAATGCCCATAAAACCAAATAAATCTGTATTCAAACGATTATGGTAATGAGACTTCACAAGCAGAAGGCGATAAGACATAATAGAATAGTTTTATATCTACATACAACTATGACATAACTAAAAATTTCGTAAACATCCTTCTAAATTCTATCACGTTTTACCAATTCAATAATTTTATTATTTATGACTTGATTTATTAATGCCAAAAAAGTGATTAAATGTGTTTCAAATAGACGAATATAGGTAACTATTGATTAAGTATGCGAGACATATATCTGTAGTAGTTAAAATGAAACTCGCAGGTGTAGCAATCGAGTACAATACTGTAATTACAATAAAATTATAGTAGTCACAGTAGTGAGTGTTAGATAGAAAAGAACAGACTTAAAGAATTAAATAGTCTAATAGAGGAGAGATTTTATATCTCTCCTCCATTAGATTATTTAATTCTGAACATGCAAACCACATGAGGTCATCTATAAAGAACTAAATTAAAATATTAAAACGGAAATCAAATATTTTATGGAGAAACAGATTAGCACAGAGTAGAAAGAATTAAAAAGGCATAAAAAGAAGTAAGTCAGTAGGAGATAAATACACATAAACAGTGTATAGTGATTAACAATAAAGACACTCTGAAATCAGAGGTTCACAAAAGAGCAACAAAAAAAA